AGCAAAAAACAATAATAATTAATACTGGTAATTTATAAATTGATCTACTGGTTTCAAGCATGTACAAAGCTCTCAGTTTTATAAACAGGTATTTCTGAGGAAGCATTAGCGATACAGGCAAGGATCATAGGAAGACACACCAAGTAAGCTAATGGTGACACATGGAATAGTGTAACCAAAATGACTGAGCCTCAACCAAATTGGGTCCTGATATCATATAAGTATGGACAGGCAACATAATCCAGATGAATTATTTTTTAGCTGACATTTATGCTAAATTATGCTAAGTATTCTGATTATGCTAACTATAGGTGAAAATCAAGAGCCAACGGGAAACATCCAGGAAACAATTATCTGGGTTTGGGTTTTTTTAAATTCTATTTGCATACAGGAAACACAAAAAATTAAGTAGGATTTTTCAATTCCGCAGTTTTGCTAAGCACCAAATGGAAGTCATAAATCATGTGGAGTAACTGCTGATGAAGTTTTCAATGAAAATTATATTCTTCTTGTGCAAATAACACAGTCCAACAAGGTGTTATGTTCACCCAGAGATGTCTGGATACATGAACAAATGGTTCTGTGTGATGGCTAGCATGAAATCCCACAGCACGGAAGGGCACGGGCAGAGGGGAATGCCAGTTCCTGCTGAGCTTCCCTTACTTTCTCTCACCCTCATCCACCCACCCCTCCTCACAAGTCACAAGCAAGGTTTTCAACTACTTTAGCACTGAACTAGGTTTTACAAGAATTCACAGAGACTGATTTTGTTAGCTAGTCTCCAACAACAGTTCAGGAAACTGTATCTTTATTATGGAGGAAACTTTGCCCAAACCAGTTGGATGCCATTTAGGAGCAACCTTCACCACACAGGCAACTTAGCTGAGATCAGGCCAAACGCTTTCCTTTTTAGTAGAGATAAAAACCAGAAACACAGGTGACACAGAGACTGAAATTTAGTCATGTGTTAAACACCAAGCTAACGGACTATTATTTTAACTGCTGTAAATAACACAATTTAATTTTTAAACCTAATATCTAGACAATGAGGTTTTTCGATTTATTCAAGACCCAGATATTTAAAAACAGAATAAAAGCATGACTTGTTAGAAAGAAATACACACTGAGAAGCAACTAATGTATTTTAAAACCTTGAAAAACACTAAAAGCATTCTTTTTAAAGGCTTGTCTTTATTTTCATGTGAAAGATAGAAAAGTAACCAACATTCTAGGAAAACAACAACAGTTTATCAACTTCATCAGCAACCTTTTTATGATTTTACCAAAGTGCAAATTCATACGGAACCATCCTAAAGCACTTTAAAATAAGATACAAGCCATTTTAAAAGACAGCTTAGCAAGTCAGTCTGGGTACCACAATTCCCTATTTGCTCCTCCCACTTAGAAACAACTCTCTCATAATTATAAGCAACTTAATGACTTTGCCTATTGGAAATTCAGTGGGTACAAAGTCTGCTTTAAAGAAATCATATGCAAACTCTAGTCTATCCATTTGCATTGTATGGGGAGAAAAACCCCAAGCCAAAGAATGAAATATACATGAAAAAAAGGAATTGAAGCTAGTGAGGTGGAAGACATCAGAAAACAGGAGTGTGGCAAGCAAGATTAGGTATAAATAATCTCTCCTGGTCTTGGAGTACATCTCCCCTACCATTTTTACCTGATAAGAATTCTAATTAAGGCAAGCATATCAACTGAAATGATTCCACAAGAGTCAAAAGTTTACAGAGGCGAAGTGGGAAGGGGAAACAAAAAGCAAGATAATTAGGGAGTGGATGACAAAATTATAGACTGATCATTAGACAATTACTCAGCTAGATGAAGTTACAAAAGATGTTATCACAATTATCACAAAGTTATCACAGTCAGAGGTTTTTACCCTACTCCTAAACCTATATCAGTTTAATGTTGGGAATGAAATTACTCCTGGCACTTGTTTATTTCCTTTATCTTAGTAGGACATGAACATATGGTAGAAATTTGTCCTTGCCTAAAATTACTCTGCTTGTACGACATACACTATAAGCATGCAGACAGGGAATGGCACTGCCAGATGTAGTGAAGGGAATAAGAGGATGCAAACCAGGCAGAAGGAGGGAAAGGCTTCCTACAGTCCCTTTCACACATGGTAACAAAATACCATTTGCTGGAACAGTAAAAATTCATAGTACTTCAAAGTCCAGAAGGACTAGCCACAGCTGTGGTTTATGTACCCACATTTGGAATACATGGAACAAAAACAGGAACAGGCACTGAGAAGTCTGACTCAGACAGATAACCTGATACTGTAAAGCAGATGTGAGGTGAGAAAGAAATGCAGATCCACCAGCATGGAGAAGTGTAATATATAGTCAGCACCATACTGCACTGACAGAGCAATATAATGTCACTGAAGGAGAAAATAGTTCTGTAGTGAAAGGATATTAAATGTCATGTCACTAATAAAGAAACAAACAAGCTCCATGGGGACACAAGAGATGTCTCCCTCCCTACTCCAAGCTCCCCCAAAATGAAACACAACCAAGAACACAGGAAACAAGACCCATGAGAGATCACTGAACTAGAAGTGATGCCAGCAGATAAGAATGAAAGGCCTGCCACTAAGAAATGAGAATCAGAATAACCACACATGGAAGAACGCCGATTACATGAGGCAATTCTGACCAGGTCAGTATATTTTATTTCTTTACTCATTTGCATCATTCCCCTTCCAGTATCAAAAATACAAGGGAGTCCTATTTTTCAATCCGCTTTGCCTGTCATTTCAGAAAGGACTGCAAGCTTTCAAAGACTGGAAATTCTTCTAGTCCTAGTCCTCAAAACGAAAATATCATGCCAAGAGAAATGCTGGAAGTCACTTCTTCATCTAGCTCAAGGAGAGCGGAGAATTCAACTGAAAATATGCTGAAGTCTCTAGAGCATTCTGATGGCCAACATAAGAGCAGCTATAATTCAAAACCACTGCAAGATGATAAGCCACATGGGAATTATTTTCTGAACTATTAAAAACTTGCTCATTTACATAATATGTAAGGACAGAAACAAAAAATATAAATTAATCCCTTACCACTAGAAACCAGAACTCTCATTTTCAACTGAAAGGATAAGATCAGGCATTTCGAAATTACGAGTGCAGAGAATCTAGTGCTGTTTCCCATTTCTGAGAAGTAGAACAAATCAAATCCTTTTTAATGTATTTATTAAAGCAAATATTTTGACTCTTGTGAACTCAGGGAAGTGAGTATGTCATTGAAGTGTTTCCAGCTACACAAAAACTGAACTGAAAAATACAGCAGAAAGCCAAGGATTGTACAGAAACAGAGGCCACTTATTCAGACATCATCATTTTCAGTGCATTCAAAAATTCCCAACAGAACAAACACTGACAGTGCTCTCTTTTCTAGAAAACAACTAGAAGAAAAAACGTATCAGGAAACTCCATACTGATAACATCTATTTTCCAATGTCTGTATTTTTCCCTGGTTTGTAACCAAAAGACTTGCTTCCTCTACACTCTTCCCACCTGTAACCTGTCAAAAGTTATCCTGGGCACCAACAGTTTCTCTCTTACCACTATCATAAAATTTTAAGCACAACTCTTGAAACTCCACTAGCCCCTCAGTTAAACTTATGTACTTTCAGCCATCAGTTTTTAATACACATGTATCCCCGTGTCTGCAAAGGTAACCTGATTCATTCAGAATACTGATAAGGAGGTGCGAGGCTTACCTCATTTGGAGTCTGCTTCTGCAGATAAGTGCCCCGTGCTCACATGCTGAGATTCTGACGGAACAGAAAGAAGCAAATTTGGGAAAACAGTACTGACAGGAGCCACAGTTACAAGCAGTTGCAGGAAGAAATATTCCCCTTCCTGCTGCTTTTGTTCATTCTGTTATTTGGGCCCTCTGAGATGGGACGTGCAGGAGGAATTACACCTCCTTTGTTCTTTTTCTTGGTGCTGAGCTTCATTTCCTTTCCTTGTGCTAAAGGTTAGAGGAAGAAGAAAGTATTGTTACAGAGAATAAGGATCAAGAAGCCTGAAGCAGGTGTGGATCCATTCATAACAAGCAGGAGACTAAAACTTACGAAGAAATTAACGAGCTGGAACTTAAGACTTTCCAGGTATTTTTCTTCCAGTTATGAACGTTGATCATAACTGTAGAGGAAACGGCTGCTACTAGGACAGACAGGATAATAAAATTCTTTCTCATTTGGGGCTTTTTATTTCAAGTAATTGAAAGACCAGAACAGCAGCATTTATAAAAGGTACCAAGAAAACAAAGAATCTTCGGTTGGTTGCAAGTCACGTTACTTACATACAGAAACTATTTCATTTCAGTAGCTTAGATTTATAGTGATATTGATCAAAGGCACCTGCAACTGTCTTGGTTGCACATGCACTGTAGTAATTATGCATGCAAATGAGGAAATTTTTGTAGTTTATCACAAGTATAAATACTATAACTGAATATATGATCATGGTCACTGTACACAAAAATTACATATGCATGCAGTTCTAAAAACCAAGTGTTGCATCCATTATCTCTACTTTGATAATGCCCTATGGAAACACTCTTTCAATGGAAACAAAAAGTATTAACTTTAAAATATGTACATTTATTCAACTGTCTACTGAACATTAAAAAAAATAACAATCCAGTAATTTTTTTTTTCCAAGCTGATATATCAGCAAAATCTCACAACTGTCATAAGATTTACCAACTTGAAAAGAATAAGACATTTAAATGTAGCCTCATATTCCTCCTTTTTATATGTATTTATTAAACCTGTAACTTCATTAAGATATTAAAGGATAGGTGATTATTCGAAAAAATAATTATATGATCAAAAATTTTAAAAATAACTGAGCTAAATTTCCATTAGTTCATCAAAATTCTAATAGAGAAGTGGAAATATTTTTAATTTCTTGAATTTTATCAACCTAAACACTGAAATGTACAGGATTTTATTATAGTTTAGACCAGAAGAGTTGCTGCATTCAAACCCATACAAGGTATTTTCTAAGGTACATAATCAACAAAACAGAAAATATGCTTTTATCTTTCACCCCCAGATATTTGATCCATCTGTATTAACATCAGGAACAATTTTGCTAGGGTAAAAGTATTTATTATTATGTATTTCAAAGAATGTGACAGAAGTAATAAAATATTTAGATATTGCTATATTCTGGCAGATCACGGCGTAGTCGTATTGCTTTCAGCTTCTCTACTTTGATTTTTGTTCGCAACAGTTCTTCTTCTAGTTGCTGCTTTCTTTTCAAACCATCCCTTTTTTCTTGGACATAAAGACCAATTTTTCTTTGATTTTCTAGTATTATTTGATGCTCTTCTTTCAGCATTTGTAACATCTGTGGGTCATAACCACACATCGGTCTAAAGCGTTCTCCAACTTCAAGCCTAAAAAACTCATCTCTTCTGGGTACAGGAGAGGGAGACATCATCACTCTCATATCAACTGAAGATACTGATGTTGAAGGAGACCTTTCCATAATATGTACCAGCTGGTGTTCTTCCTCTTGTTCTAAGTTCTCATTTTGCTGTGAGTCTATAACCAAGGAAGGAGGAGGTTTGACATCCTCCATCATGACTGTCGCAGGATGGTGATCCAACATGGCCTGTGGTGAACTGGTACCAGCAATTGTTTCTTTATCGATACTAGCACTAGAACACACAAAATCATATTTAAATAATCCATTAAAAACTATTATTACAAGGTGTAGCTGTAAGCAACCAAAGTTTCATTTGAAATACTACTCTTTCCTATCTTTGCCTGGGAGTCCATGACATGAACCCTCCTCCTTTCCACCAGCTCTGTCTTATTCAGATGCTACGGCTGTCGAGGCAGTTCAGCCAAAAGAGAGCTATCCTTGTAGGCCCTTCTGGAACAGGATAAGCAAGAAGGGCTATTAGTGACAAATGAGAATAAAAACAAACTAAGTAATGCAAGTGACAGGGGAAATAGTTTATATAATATATGATATGGTTTTAAAAGGGCATTGTTTCTGCTGCAGTCTGCTCAATCTGAATCTTTTTCATTTTCCAAACTTATCCATCTCCTCCTGCTCTATGTGTTCCCTCTTTCTGATTCATGCATCTAGCCATTCTGGAAATTTTTTTTTAGGTAAAACAATCTCTGAATAAAATTAAACAAAGAGCCCTGGGAGAAGAACCATAGCCCAAATTATGATCCTGCCAGTAGATGAGGGAATCAAACTAATCCTTTCTTCTTCTCTTTGAATCAGTGATCTCAATATTTTTCTGAAGCTTCAACAGCAGACACAGAAATTATTCCATTAAGAACAGCCTTTCTTTTTGCATTTCTTTTTGAAAGTACAACACCCACTTGACTCACTTGTCTTTGTGTAAACCCCAGAGTCAGCAGCACCTCAAACCATGATTTGACATTACATTGGTTTTGATTATAATAATGGCTCAAGCTGTTCCTGCCACTCCTCTACCATCAGTTGTGTTTGCAACCTTATACTGCATGTCACTCATTTATTCAAGTAATACTTTTTAAAGCCAGATCAGCTTCTTGAGCTATTTTACAGTACAGCTCTACAAAGAATACTTTCAGAAAGAGTGGGAAGGCAGTATAGTTTAACATGAGAACAGGAATATATTAACTCAATAATGATACCAAAGATAGTGCATCATCAAGGCCATGACTGTCTAAAACAGAGCCTATAACTGGTGGGTGCAGATACAAGACATTCCCCAACTCTTGAAGAACTGAGCTGCTACTAGCAGCCAAAGGCAGCAAGTGGATCCATGATTAATGCAACATTGATGGATGCTCCCCAACCCTGGAGGACTTGACTTGCTGCCTATTAAACTCAGGGGGTGGGAGGTGCTTACACATTTTGAACTCGTTGTAAGCCCTACAATCCATAAATTGAGAAAGGGTATCTGATTATTAAAACAGTGTCCTGGTTAGCAGTGGGTTCAAATTCCCAAAAGCAAAGGAGAAATTTAATTTCTACATCCTACTTCTAGTATAAATGCACTACCTCCTTAATCAAAAGGTAGCATGATCGCCTCTTCCACATCTGCCATGGTGTCTAGAACTCTTGATTTAAAAGAAATAAGCAGTCATGGCTGCAATTTCCCAATCTAGCTTGCCATCCTTATACATGAAAGTGCAATGGCTAGAATAAAAGCATGAAAGCTTCTCGTTACTCAATTGTAAAAATGTTCAACAGGGTCAGGGCAATATATTTTCCAAAAACCAATGCCGTCAACCACCAAAAAGATTACAAAAAAGTCCATATGAAACAGGTATTGAAAACAGACCGTTTGTTTATTCCACAAGGAAAATGCCAGGATAATCTTAATTCTACTGGCTGTTACCTGAGCTGCCTACAGAGTATCAGTTATAGCACCATACTCCCTCCTCATGCCACAAAGCTTCACCTTTTCCTGTATCCTTCTTTCTCATATTCCTCCTACTCCTCTTATTGAGCATTAAGTATTATCCTGCATACAAATTTTCACTTGTTTTCCCCAGTGCTGACTGTAATTCTGGGTTTCCTTCTCTCCACAACCGCAGCTTCTCACACAGCTTCCCTCCTCCTTATTTGCTGGCTCCTGGCCAGCTTCTAGCCTGAGAAAAGGGGAAACAACTACCAGGAGAAACAGGTCATTCTGACAAAAGGAAACAGAGAGAGAGAGCAGAAAGAGAAAGTGAGAGAGGTTAAAGAAAAGAAAGACACATAAGATTTAGTCTAACATAGAACCTCCAGTGAAAAATCCTTCTCTTAAAAGCATACTAGAAAATTACTAACTCTTCAGGTAACTCTGACAAGGCGCCTTTTTTTTTTTTTCCCCTCAGAGTCAGTCTCTTAAGAGGAAAACAATTAAGCAGTAAAGAGAGAAAGACGGAATTGAGAAACAAAAGAGCCGCCTGTATGGTGGTTACTAATGTTGTTTCTGACAACTTGACTGAAAGAAAGACAAACAACAGTTACCACAATTGGGGGGTGGTGTTTATAACCCTGCAGGCACTCATGATTCACCAGGTTTTGTTTAATCACAGCGAGCTAGAAATTGCTTAAAGGTGCGATCAAGAATTTGGATTCATTATAAGTTTTATTTCCCTCCTACAAAACCTAAGCCATATCCTGGGGAGTTAAAACCCAACACAGGGTTTTGAAAATTAGGGTAAAATGCAACTCAGGGTCAAAATTAGAACTATTAAACAAGGATGTTTTTGGACAGGAGAAAAAATAATAATGATTCAAATTATATTATTTTCCTTCAGCCCCCAGTGTATTGGCTGTTCCTAGGAACAACCATTTTGGGTAAGCAGTAATCAAGTCAATGTTCCCAGAGCCATAAGGGACTGCAAAAAATGTTTAAATTATAGCAGACAAACTGTAGAGATCATTAGCTCTTAATCATTCACAAAAAGCGTCAGTGCTTTTTATAAGCCGATCTACAAACCAAAGTTCTTACACTATTTTTTTTTCCTCCTTATAAAAGTTGGTAGTCAAGACACTGCAACCTTTATTAGCGCAATTAAAAGACTCGTTTTGTTCCAGAGAATTCTTTGGAACAGTTCCTCCGGGGGCATTCACCAAGAGCAGCAGCGCAGCCCAGTTGCTTCAGACTTCTTTACGCAAAGGACCCACAACAGCGTATTTTTAGAGCATCTGGCATGTTGGGATTTAGACAATTGTTACCATTCAGTTCAACCAGTGGCACCATCAGAGCGTGTGCGCATGCCAGTTTTCCTTAGAGTGTTATGCTGCTGCACTATCAGTGTATCAGATTAAAACACAGAAAGTTTGCTTCCCATTAATCTGCTTGGGAAAGTAAGAAAAATCAGAGCTTTCTCAAAGTTGCTGGGGAGTTATTTGACCTTTTTTCCCCTCCTCCTTAGCTTAGTTTTTGGATCTGGAGGAACCAAAACCTGACCCAGGCATTTTTTTGATCCCTCAAGGACCAATACAGAACTAGCAGAGTGTTGCAAGTCAGATATGAGGAGCATTAGCCAGCTGTGGGTGAAAGCCTGCATGCTGCCTGCCTGTATTATGTCTGGCTCAAATCTAGACACTGTGTCTCACTTTACTGAGCAGTAAAAAAAAAAACAACACACAACAAAACCAAAAATCCCTGAAAAAAAAGAAAACTTCTAGTGCTGTATCTCTCAGTTTCTCTCTGTATTTAAACTACCTAACATATGATACAGAACTGCTTGAAGATTAGGCTGCAATTAGTATTGCTCCAGTTTCAGGGAACCCCCATCAATGCAAGAAAAGTGTAATTAAAAAAAAACACCAACATTTGCACTCACTAAGGCACTGTGGTGTGGGAAGTAAATTATTTTTTTAAAAAGACTTGAATCAGTTAAAACATAACATGAAAAGTTCAGAGTAAAAGAGGGAAAAAAAAGCTGTATGAGCAAGGTTTCTTAGCTTTGTGAACTAACTTTATAAAAAATCCTATGTAAACTGGTAATAGTTCCATATGTTGCAAAATGACTGCAGTATTACCTTAAATGGAGGAGAATAGCCATCACTTTGCCAATGCTTGAATAATCTGCCTATTAAAAGGTAGGGGAGGGATAGAGGTTGGAGCTACTATTTCTCTTTGATTCTCTCTTAACCCTCACTTTCCAGAGTATGACAAAGACTCTGAATTAGGCTTTGAAAGAGCTGAAAAAAAAAAATGAATGCAGTGCTAAGTCACCATAAAGCTTCCCATAAAACAAAAGCAATATTATTTTGTCATTGTTCCCCGCTTGGGGATTTTCTCTGATAAACGTTTCCTTTAGGAGCCTGAACACAAGCAAAGCGTCACAGGGTAGATAGGAGGCGCCATCATTTTCATTCAGTAACAAAATAAAAAGAATCATCTCACCTTTGAACACCGCTCCTGTCTCTTAAACACACATTGGAAATCTGTGGAATCATCTCCACAACTTTCTTGGTTGGCTCGGAAATGCTGCTTTTACAATCTGAGTGAGTCTCCTTTTGCTGCAATAGCTCCTGTTTGGCATATTCTTTGAGCCTCTTGTACAGCGTGCGCAGGCCCTGTGCAGTGCGAGGAGGGCGATCTACTCCGATGGCATTGTAGTTATCAGCTATGATATCCCAGCATTTGTTTTTTTCCACTATTACAGAATGCTTATTGGTATGTTCCTCGAGAATTTTAACGTACGGCTTCACGAGTTTTAGCAAATCGAGCTTTTCAGATAAGGTAAAATTAGAAGATCTGGCCTTCCCAACCATTGTTATCTTTGAATTAAAGAAGCCGTTTCTAAAGCCACCATGCAGTCCCTAGCTCTGCTCAGCTCTTTTTCACAAACAGAAAAAGATCAGGCTTAACTAGGCTAGTCTCATTTAGGCCCACGCCTACAAGGGAGGGTTTATTAAAATTCCTTCAGCTTAAGCTGACGCAGGTTCAGGAAATCTGCTTAAGCCAAGCCTGACCTACATAAGGCTTCAGACTGAAGAAGACGAGAAGAAACAAGCAAAACACACTTTTGTATGCAGAGACCAGACATACGCAGGAATTAAAAACATAAAGGTTTAAAGATTAGCACATTACCCCGCTAAATATTACCTAATTTAGCTTGAGTAACAAGCCCTGACACATCTCCCTAGCTCTCTCACACGTATCTCAAACTGAAACCGCGCTGGGGATGATTTTACGTGTACCCGTGTCCCCCAGAACGCAACAATTGCTTTGTGCGAGGCAGTGCGCGTTTCGGGGGGCGGCGTGAGCAGCGAGCTCCCCCGCCGAGCCCCCGCGCCATTTGCATAGTGCCGGTCCTGCTG